AATTGCAGCTCTAATTCAATTTTTTATTCCTTAACAGCCACATATCTGTGTTTTTCTATTTGTTCTTGGTAGTACGGGTGGAAAGCAGAAGCCACAGTCAGTGGTGGGGAGGTGTGGCCCAGTGGATTCCAAATGCAGTCCTTAGCAAAACTGGTCATTTGGGCCCTGATCCAGCAAAAGCACAGTTGCATCCCTAGCATTACAAACTGTGACCACTTCCATTGATTTTAGGTACAAGAAACTGGAATTAAAAGAACATGCATAGGTATTTGCTAGAGTACGAAGCCGTCAACACTATCATGGCACTTGGTTAGGATAGCAGAGCTACAAGTCCCTTCCAGAGTGCCTAAAACTGAACTCAACTTCTTGGTGCTAAATCTGTTTCACAAAACGTGGTAACTTACTGTTGTTTGTAATGCCTTAAATCCCTGGGTCAGTTATTTATTGCAGCAAATCTCCATGTCAGCCCTATTTAACATTATTTCTTACAGCATCTAAAACTCAGTGGTTTAGTGTGTGGGCTTTGGTGTGCTGGTTAGGTATTGCAAAATCCCAGTAATTTTTTTAAAACTCACTATTGCTTTATAATATATTTTGAAGTATGTCTTGCCTTGTCTTTTTCAGATATTGTAATGGTATCTACTTGCTATCTGTCTAGATGATTCACTGTTATAAGCTTAGTTTTGAGAAGAATTTTTAAAAACCTGACAAGTATAAGCTCTGAGATGATGCTCACATAATACGGCATTGCCTCAACAGCTCACAAAAAGCATCCTGTTCCCCCTGAAAAGAAACAGGCAAGGTAATGCTTACAGAAAATTATCTCTTAGTAGCTACGTTTTTTCCCCCACAGCACCGAGTATTTTTTCAGTCACTTTAAAAGGGCCATTGTAATAAATTCATTGAGTTTGAAAGCTTGTCCAGTCTCACTATAACTTCTGTAAGTGATTCCGTTCTGTCTTAAAACGTTGTTTATTACTTCCAGCTCTACTATATATTCCTTTCTGAATTTCAGGAAAAGCCATAGTCCGTCTGAAATCATCCTGAAGCAAGAGGTGATGATGCTTGGTAGCATTACAAGGAAAATTGCTGCCATTTCTGCAAACTTTAAATTTACTATTCAGAAAAATGAAATTAAATATTTTGTTCTGGAGCAGATTAACCAAAAAAAAAAAAAAATTCTTTTTCTGAGGTGGCTTGAAGCATCTATTGAAACCATTGCTTAGTCAAAACATTGGAAAGAGAAAAAATTTTATTTGGATTGAATCAAAAAATTGGAAAAGGACAAAAGGTTCAGGTGACCCCTATGGTTTTGTTAGATCCAGAATGAAACATTTTCCTTTTCAGGTTTTGTAACCATTTTCAATAAGATTTTTAATTTGTATCCATTTTAAGGTGAAAAATGCTATTTTAGAATAAGTTGGTTTTTAAAATGTGCCAAAAAATAATCTGCAGTATTTCCCAACTGAAGTTTGAGACTTTTTGCATGTATCCTGAAATTACATTTTGGAGAAGCTCCTTTGTTTGTTTGTTCGAGCAATTCAGAATCTGACAGATTTTGGTAGTTCAAGCAAAGTCTCATCAAGCAGGGGGAGAAAAATACCATTCAAGTAAAAACTAGACTAGGATGTGTTCTACAGATTTAATAATAAAGCATTATTTTTCCAAAAGCTCTTTGAGATATTTGCATCTTTGTGTATGCCTGAACTAATTCCTCAGGATAAGGAAAATAGGGTGTTCTGTGGCAGATCATAATTTGTTTAATACTCATGAGACATTTGGGTTGCCACTTTTTTTGTTTATTTGCTGCCAAGCTCTGCCTTTGTTATTCACAGGTAGGTTAGGGCAGGAGAATGCCACACTCATCAAAAGATGAGGAGTCCCACTGCCTGGGGCCAGATGTTCATAGAATATTCCTTTGATTATTTTTTTTTTCCAGTCTCTTCCTCCCCTAGCATAGCAGCTGAGAGTAGGTCCCTTTTCCCCTTATGTTCAGTTGTATGTCATCTTGAATTTAGTCTGAGACTGCAGTCAATTTGACTCCGAGGGAAGGGGCTCCCGAGGCAAATATTTCCCTTTCCTTATTTCAGACACTTTGCCTGCAGACTAATTGTGCAGGTTGGAGTTAGTTCATTTGTTATGTTTTCTTTTGGTAACAAAACAATATATAAGTAAAACTGAAGTGCTATGTTCTGAAGAAAAGCTAATTTTTCCTCTGCGTGAACTATTTAAAAGTTCCCAACACACATGCCTTTGCACTAAATAACACTAATTAGAGGAAGAGTATTAAATTCTCCTTTTAGTAGAAATCTCTTATTCTCACTAATACCAATGAGTAAATATTTGAACTTACCATAAATATTCTCCCGTAGTTATTTTTACAGCAGCAATAAATTAGAATTCCACAGTGCGAGAAGCCCTGAACAGAGGCTGTGTTAAACCCAAGCCTGTAGATGAATTAAAATCAAAATCGCATCAAAATTAGTCTTGATGATGGAACCTTAACAGCTTGTGAGTATTTCCAATAGCTATGACTGTATCACAATTTAATACATCCTTTCTCACATATACATTCTAGTTTTCCACCCCATCTGCCTCTTTTACTCTCAGCTGCTACCACGATAACCCCTCAAGACAGCATAATCTCTTTAGCTGCAATGCCATAATCTGCTGCTAGCATAAGAGTGGAAGACAAAAAATTGGAGAATACTGCACATATTAAAACATTCCCCCTTTTCCTCCTCAGACTGGAGGCTTGAAGAAGTTAAGAAAAATTGTTTTATTGACTATAAATTACAAAAAAACTATTAACCGAATCTTAAAATTATTCTTTATTTTTCTTAATAAAGAATTTTCTCAGTTGTATTTCACTATTGAAACAAAGCTGATAGTTCTTGCCAGCTGGAAAAAATCCACTACCAGAGAGGACCTTATCCCACCCAGTTTATTGCTGTAGCACAAGAAACCTGCTTCACACTGATCTAGAATTTCAGACCACGCACAATGGCTCTCTTAGAAGCTAATGCACACACACTACACACTCCAGATAGGCTTCAGGTGTGCTGGAGAGAAGACAAACACACTGGCAGAAATACGTTGTAGCATGTTGTGACAGTACGTCCCTTTCCAACCCAACAGCTGGAAGCAGAAAGGTTGACTGAAAATGAAAGGGGATCCCTCCAGTACAGGTTCCAGCATCCTTAGGAACCAGATGGACTGAAATGGAAAACAGAAATAAAATAGGCCACAAAATTCACTGCCAGAAGAGGTTTTCTTTCTATTCATGGCAGTGCCAGGTTTTACTAGAAAGAAATTTTGCCATGTCGTAGAAACTGAAGATAGGAATGAACTGGAACCACCTTTGTTTTCTCCCAGCCAGTGCAGGATTTTTCCAGGTATATTTTCTAATCTTTGTGTAGTCTGATTTTTAAAGACTAGTGAAATAAAGCATTTTATCTGCCATTTTTAGGTTATCTCATCACAACAGTTTCCGGTAGAATTTTTCTTAAGTATTCAGACTACATTTCCTTTCTTATTCTCATTACTTTTGGCTTTATCATCTTAGACTCCCTCAGGCAGCTTTCCCCAGTGCCTGCTTTCTGCCATTTCATATTCTTCTGTGTAGCTGTTATGTTTCTCTACAGTTACCATGATATTTTTTTGTAAGACCTCTTATTTAATGTCACTTTGCAGATGTCATTACTATGCTGTTCACTTCCCCCTTCCACTAATGAAGATGTGAAATAACACAGAATCTATCATTGCTCTTACTAGGTATTTTCTGTCAGCCTGCTAGGCTGCTGTTTATCAGTACTCTTCCTTTATGGTCCTTCAGTTTGCGTTCCTTCCCCATGACAGTTCTCTTATCTAAGTCTTTCCAAATTAATTTTTTGACTAAAATTTTCTGCGATGCTGTAGGAAGGGTTTTGCTGATACTTCAATGCAGCTTCATTGCTTCTGCTGTTTTCCTTTCTTCTACACTAGGGATTTTGTCGAGACAAAAAGCAACTGAGGAATAACAATGCATGTGGAGATATCTCTTTTCCCACCTTCGAGTGTAACTTTCTCATCCGCGGAAGTTGCTTTAGGAACACTTGCTGCCTTAGTGGCAGGCACTCTCAAATCCTAGGTTGTAACCAGCACTGATAATAGGTGGAGCAAGGGCTTCAGTTTCACCTTATGCAGTGTATGTATTACATCCTATGCTGTAAGTATTAAGGGCCAGATTTCACCCCACATACATTGAGTAAAATGTTTTATATGAGTGACAAAATTCTCTTTGTCTCAGCATAATCTTGATTTCAGGCCAGATAGAAGTTAAAGAAGCAGATTTCTGTTCACAGTGAAGATGGCAGAAATGGAGTCATACTAAATAAATCGGGATTGCTTCTACGCTTTCCCTAGTGGACAATGACTTGACAGACTATCCTCTTGCAGCCTGCAGCTTTTCAGAATAAGGGGTGGGGAAGGTCACTTCTGAGTGTTAAGAGGTTCCTTTTTCTTCCTTATGGGATATTGTCTAATTGTCTTTGGAATGATTATGACCTTTGGGTGGAGTTAACCTCCCATCATGTGAATCACCTGTACTGGTTCATTTTATAAGGAATAATCCCAATGCTAATCATGTCATAATGAAATCAAGCTTTATCAGTTAAGTAGACTACTACGAATGCAATACCCTTCTCTTGTGTCTCTTCCCAGTTTCACTCCTCTTTGGCTACTTCTGCCTGTATAACCTAGTATTCGTCTGTATGCCATCTCTCCATTTCTTCACTGTAGCCTCAGGGGTTCAGGAAAGATTTTCTTAGTGACATCTTGAAACCTGAAGCTTTTTTTAGCCAACCTCCTGTGTTAGCACAGGGTAAGGTCTGTAGTTTCCACTGATAGATTGCAGCTCGTGTCCTTGTTTTAACTGCTGAGAGAGCATATAGACAGGATGGCCCTTGACTGGCATGTGACATCATGGCTTCTCTTGCTCTCTGCACTGTGTTTTCCTTCAGGGGTTATCTTGCTGCTTCTTGATAAGTTACGGAAGATGAAATGGGAGCAGATGTGGAGACTCACGGCGGAGCGGGAGTTAATGAGCATGCTCTCCACTTCACTGGCTGACCAGGTGAGTAGGGCGTTGCAAAGAAGTGATTCAACCACTGCTCCATGGATTGAGGAAGGTAAGAAGAGGAAGGGGGGTGAGATGTGGGAAAAAGCAGGGGAAAGATATTGTGCCTGTAGTCATCATTTGTTGAATTGTTCTGGTGGAAACATGGAAGAGAGGAATGGAGATTTACTCATGAGGTTTCTCTTACAAGACTGACATTTTTACCTCCCCTGCACAGATGATTCATAAGATAGACAAATGAGATTTTCAAGCTTTAATTTTCTGTCCTTCTTCATTAACATAAAACTCTCCAGACACTAGAAGTCCAAATATATTGTGTCTTTTCCTACTGGTTATTGTCTAAGCAGACTATAGTTTTAAGAGTCTCCAGATACTTCTTTACCGTTTCTGGCAGATGAGTCCCAGCAGTCTTTTAATGCACTTCTTGCCACAACAGGCCTGTGAAGACAAAAATGCTGCTGTCTTCCTGCCACAGATGGGAAACTGAGGCCAAGAGAAGCATGCCTATGCACAGAAGTGCATATTTACCCTCTTTGTGCTTCCTGGCAGCTGTTTTAAATCCAGAAACCCTGTTAATGTAGTATTGGACCTGAACTAAGCCTTGCTCAACAGCTCGAATATATTAACTCAATACAGCATAATATTTAGATATTTTTACTGCTTCTGAGCTACATCTGGCTTATGACCAGCCACCGCTAAGGAAGCATGATGCTTACTGTGCAGATAGAGATGTGCACTTGCGTACAGTATCCTGCAGGTTGATCCAAAAGCCATTGAAGTTCATTAAAATGATTCCTGCAGCTCCACTGTGTTTTCACTCAGGTCCTGAGTTGCCGTCTAATGCCTGCGTGGGGGAGAATTTTGCGGAGTGGACCAGGGTTGCTTATGTCTTGCCTTAATACCTTAACCACAAGACTCCTTGTAACTTTCTTCTCCAAGTAGATGGCTGCACAGTGGCAGAACATGTTCTGTCCCTCATGGTGTAGGCTGTTCTGCTGACCTGTCCTATGTGCCCTTTCCATGAAATACCTAGAATACTTGTTGCAACAATGAAGTGCTAGCTAAAATCCCACTTAGTAATTCACCTTGAAGCAGTCTAACTGTCAGGATCACTTTCGTGCCTTTTATTGAAAAGTGATGGGGTACTTGCTAACAGCAGGCAGTTTGTCACTTACTGAGTAGTACTCTCCCTGGTGACTAGGAGAGGAACCACATCTCTTGCCAGCAGTACAAGGTACATGTTTTGAAAACTTTGCTGGAGTCCATTAGTTCTGTGTGTTAAGAGAACCTGTTTGTCTTGTTCAGATTTACATGTCACCCTTCAGATTGATACCACCCTCTATGGTACCAGACTTATGAAGCAAGGTTTGCAGAGTTCAGCTAGCATAGCCATTTGCATTGCTACCTGTGAGGAGGAGGAGGACAGTCAGGCCGGGGAGGGGTTGAGACCACCTCACTGTAGAAATGACATACCCAACTGTTTCTCTGGTTTTGTCTGCTAGGACATCTTCAATGCAGTCATCAAACAAAATCCCTTCCTTGTCTACCAGCTCCCATGTTTCTGGAACGTGCAGCTGTCTGATCATACCCGTTCCGAGCAGTGCTACAGAGATGTGTCTGACCTGAAGGTATGTTTCACAGGAGGTTGGAGGGGTGGTATCCTTTGGGACAGAGAATGCAGGGTTCTGCTGTGACAGAAGGATGAAGTCCCTTAATTAGAGGGGCAACTAACACATACAGTTTATGAGGACACCCAAGCAGAGGAAGCAGATATGACTTTGTGCATTTTGACTGCTAGAAGAGTCAAAGATGGATGCTGATTTGGTGTTTGGCAAGGTGTTAAAGAAGTGCTTTACCTTCTTACATTCTGTACCTGTCATGTCACTGCATCTTACTCCTGAGTCCTTATTGCTGTCCCAGTTATTAGCTCTTTCTAGCCAAAGAATACAAAGCCTTTTCTTTTTTGTATTGGACAAGTTTGAAACTCTTTAGTCAACATTATTTAGTAGGGTGAAATTCACAAAGAGCATTGGGCAGACCCTAGCTGGAAATACATTAGCCAAAATTTAAAAGACCTTGCACACTTCATATTTAGCCTTTGCGTACACTTAACCCAGCCACACTGCCACTCATTTTTCTAGGATTTGCCCTGGAAAAAAAAGGCTGAATAGAAACCTATTAATTTAATAAAATGAATCTACAGTATCAGTTTAATAGCACATTTTTCACTATTGTCAAGTAGAATAGAAAAGCAGGATGGATTTGAACAGGTATGAGTAAATTAACAATAATTGTGCTGTGGTCATTTAGAAAGGCCAGACTCAAATATAGCATGCAGAGAGTTCAGAATTGAAGCTGATTGAGCTTCTACCAGATGTAGAATAAGACTGGCTGGCTAAACAGCAGTAGATTGCATCAGAGCAGGCTAGTGGCATAAGAACTCAATAAATATTAAGTGGGTTTTGGTGATTCATTTTAAAGTTCAGTTAAGGTTCATATACTTAATTTATGTTTTGAGAATGCTCTATTAAATGAGATTTAAAGAAAAAAAAAAAAAAAAAAAAAAAAAAACACAACAGAACAGAGAACCATAGAAGAGGTTGCAAGGGGCCTCTGGAGACCATCCAAACCCCACTCAAAGCAGAGCCAACTTCGATCAAGTTGCTTAGTGCCTTGTACAGTTGAATGTCAAGTCTCCCAAGGCTTGAGATTCAACAGCCTCCCTGGCCCTATGTTCCAGAGTTTCACTACCCTCATGGTGCAATGCATCTCTGAAATCTAACCGAATTTTCCCTTGTAACACTTTGTAGAGTAACACCATGAGTGTTCAGTATGAACAGCAGATACTGGATGAATATAGAAAATCAATCACCCTCAACACACTGATTTCAAAAGCTGCACTTCCCAAAAGACAGATGATCTACTACATGGATTAACTGACCTGTCAAATCTGGCCCATATTGCTTGAATTTCATACATAAAATATTCACAACCAACTACCCAGGTGTGGTCCACAGAAGACAGTTTTTAAAGTTAGATCAGTATACTGGTCAGGACACTGATCACTAAATCTTTTATGATACATGTTGGTAGGGCAGGATCAACGCAGGGACTTAAAAGCATCATAGTTTTATGCCTTGTAACAAACTGCTGGTAGAGATTTTAGTTCTGTGCTCGTGTTGAGAATCAAGTATGACAGCAATTCCGAGGCCTGAAACAAAAGGAGAGAGTAGTAGCAGGGAAAATGTTTTCTACAATATTAATTTTTAAAAAATACACCTCCTACTTGGGAGATATCACAATATTTTACTGTGAATTACAGGCTGACATTAATTCATATAATCCACTGAGGCAGTCAGATTGGATTCAGCAGAAAGTTAAGACACATACATTTACATGAGAAAAAGATATTGAAGCTAGTACCTGAGGATCTAGGGCTTGATTCAGTTGCCTAAACACAGTTTGAGTCACCATAGATACTCTCAAATATCCATATGGGACTTGCAGATACAACACAGACCTACAGGAGACAATACCCTTTTTGCAAGGCAGCTGATGAATAACCCTAAGGTGCTTTCAGTGTTGCTATAGCCCTGTATTTAGGCAGGAACTGTGATCCCCACGAGTAGTTTTGGGGACTGGTTAAGTTCACCTCAGAAGAGATATCTGATGACTAATCAGGCACTCACTCTTTGGACTTCAATGACTGTATTGACTAATCTGCTTCAGGTGTGGGACATCTAGCTTATAAGTAGCACCTGCAAATAAGCATTTAATAGAAGTATCTTAAATTGAATTCTTTCTTCATTGCCGATTAACAAATTTATGTTTACAAATATAACTTAGGCTTGGTTGTTTATTACTGTATATTGTATTACACTGTCAGTTCCATTACAGCATAGGCAATGAAGTCTAAGATGCAAAATATCCCCCCCTGGCTTTCTGGTCTGAGGTACTTAACAAGGGGTGCAAACACATAAGCAATTTCTTCAGCTGAACTGGACTTATTCACACTGCTGAAATTGGCCCCTAAATACTGAATCGGGGATGCAATTCTTTGCTTTGAAAGAGAGGAGAGAGCCTTATCTAGTGCACATAAGCCCTCTGGTTTCAATAAAGCTCTTCCCATATTCAGCACTTAAAGAGCTGGCCCTCAGGCAGCACTGTTTAAAATTCTTCATACAATTAAATAATTTTAAAAAAAAAGCATAAACCAATTAAAGTTTTGAATTTGCATTATGAAAATAGACAAAATTCTAGTTCTGAAAAGAATCTGGCTGGTTTGGTATGTGGTCCTCTCAAAAGAAGCAACAAATGTTGCTAGCCTAAATTAAAAAAATATACTCTTAAAATCACCAAAGTTAGTTCCATGGCATTTAATATAAATGGTATAACACGACATATTTGGCACATCGTGTATTTCATGGTAAGACTGGAATAAGAAATGAGGTAAAAGAAACCTTCAGGGTGAGAGGGAGAGAAAGACAAATTGTGAAGTTTGTACTGGAGGATTAAGAAGAATAGCATAGGAAAGAAGGAAATACAGGGGGGGATTTAAATTCTAAGGTAAAGCTGGACCAGTCAAGTATTCCTCACTCAAATGGTACAGCATTCCTCATGTCAGACTGAAAAGGCACTGATTCAATTCCTCTGGCTTCAAAGTCAATGGGACTTGAGGATTTGTCATCTCTTACACACAACATTGTGCTAAATAAACTTAGATCCCCGGGGCTGAGTGCTGTTCAGTTTTGGAGGGCGGGGGGGAGTACCTCTGTGTATATATATATATACACACTTCTTTGCTGCTTTGTTCACATTCATGCAAACACAGGATGACCAGCGTATTTTCTGCAGGCCTGTAGAGCATTTGAATCTTTCACATTGCCTGAAGAGGATTCTAATAACTTTTTTCTCTTTATATAGTCCTCATTAAGTTGCATCTCTATCCATTTTGTTGAATTCTTTTTTCCTACTGTCTTATGTTAAAGGTCAGATGTTTGACTATTGCTGAACTCTGCTTCCTTGCTGCAGCTGAACAGCATATATAAATTTTGAAGGACTTGAATATGGGGATCTTTCAGAAAAGGTATAAGAAGAATAGAGATATCTATAACCAAGTGCTGCATTATTAGTGACTGCTAATTGTATATCCATCTAAAGCAACATCAAAATAAGACTACTTAAGTAAGCATTTAGATGAATAAAAATAATAAACCCCTGTGTCATGCTACATAGTGCTAGAGACCACACCGTACATAGCAAGACTGAAGTCTGTGGGCTTCGTTCTGCTGTCCGTGGTGTATGGGGCCAAAACTTACATAAACAATTACACTTACAGAAATCCTCCTTTCCCTACCCCAAAGGCACCTGTATTAAGGATGATTTGCATCAGTCAAGAATGTCTTGAAATTAATAATTTTAATAGACAACAAAGAGCGGGCTAAGAGGAAGCAGATGCCTTTCAGTTCTTTTTGCCAAGTGAGCCAACTGCAGTCTCTGAAGGCCAGAGGTGTTTCTTTTTTCACAGCACTTGTTACACTGTGGAGGAACACTCAGGAGTTGTTATTGAAGACTGGTCAAAAGGTGTAGAAGTGCTAATAGTCATTCTGTGTAGGCATCCACTGCCTATCTTGCTTATCTCAGCTCCTCACATGGTCCCCAGCAGCCCACACTGTCAGTGGACAAGCACATGTGTTGTAGGACTGTGCCTTGCTGGGTTTCGAAGCCTGTGGGGATCTGCCTGGAACTGAGGTTCATTTATGCGTTACTTTTGCTGGGTTGGGTCCTGTGTTTGCTTTCCTTTTCGGTTAATAGCTTGTTCCTGTCTGTTAGCAAATGTCAGTTACTACGATTTGGCACAAACCAAATGGCAAGAAAAATCCTATGAAATGAGGTAATGAATTGTGATGCTTCTGACAGTGAATCATGACCTCACTGAATGAGTCAGTCATGAAGAGAAGTCTGGTTGTCAAGGATACAGATGCTATTTACACACAGAGAATCTGGTAATTCACAATCACGAAAATCAGGTGCTGGACTCTTCAAGGGGCATGTATCAAATTATTAGAATTTATCCCCCTACCCCAAAATAGGAGAATGCTTTAAAGCCTGTTGATGGCTTTTCAAACTAGTTTTGAACACAGCTGATACTAAATTAACAGTTTAGATAAATAATTAACCTCGTAAATTCCCCATTCTGAAACTATGTTATGTGATTTGTATCCTCCCTGGGAACGTCCTCCACACCAGGACCACTTTGTGAAATTGATTACAAGAGTTTAAACAGCTTCTTGCCCCTAACACAAATACATCATTTCAGATCTGCCTCGGACATGACCTATTCTAGACTCTTTCTATCCCAGCCCCTGAGCCACCCCATGCTGTCCAAGCACCTCAGCACTGATCTGCATCAGTTCTGGCATTCTGCTGCCCTGCACCTTTTAATGCCAACCAAGGAAGAGCTACACAGAGAGGAGTAAGGGCTCAAGAGGGTTAAACATTCCCCTCCCTTGAGACAGTGAGGTGCATTTACTCTTCCAAAAAGGGAGCACTGGGGTATTACAGACATGTTTTTAGGGGTGTTTCTGCAGGTAGGAGGCCTGTCATTGGTACAGGAGTTGAAGGGAGAGCTGCAAATCCTTCCGAGGAAAAATTGGGAACTTTGAAAAGTACAGGACAGGGACAGTCTGTCAGCTTACTGCCATAACAGCATAGGCGGTAAGCTGGGCAGTAAAGTGATCCCTGGGACCATGGGCTCCAAGTCAGGCAGGGCAGGGATTTGAATGCCACATCCAAAAGCAGTGCCTGGACCTCTGGGTTGCTGGCTACTCCAGTGTGAGTCTCTTCCACTTACGTAGTTGAGAAATATCACTCTGAAACCTTCCTGATGACATTTCTGTGAAGTATTTGATCCTTTCTGAGGAAATTGGTTCTTTTATTAAACCATCCATTTCTGATAAGACACTGTTTAAAAATAAAGTTTCCAGACATCTCTGATCAAGGCATAAGTTACACATGTGGTGCTTGTTTGCAGCGTGACTTGGGACATATTTGAACTTTTCAATAATATGTGCCTGGAAAAAAGCCTATTGAGATGGCATTAAAGTGGCATATCCGGGTGGCTTTAGCGTGCAGATTTGCTGAACATTTGACTCCTGTTGATTTCAGTGGGAACTGGCTGGTTGCTTAAACAAGGAGTCCAGTTTTTAAGCAGGAAAGCTCCCCATCTACAAAATACCTCTTTTACGTATTTACCTAAATTGTGAAGTGCTTATGGGCTTAATTAAGAATATCTGTTCAGTGCTTTGCAAAATTAAATTTCCTTAGGCTTAAATTTAAGCTTAATGTATTCTTACTTTTTAGCCCTTCAGCCTGGAAAGTATAGGTGTATGTATATAGGATAAGCTGCATTCTTTGATTTCGTAAGGGCTGAAGCAGAGTGAGAAATTATCAGGATGTGTCTCTGGGTAAAAAAGATTGTTGTTAAGGAAACATTTAGCCAGATACTTCTTTTGGAGAGAGAAGATGCTTCAGGGGAAAAATGGGTAAAAGTTCCTATAGAAATGATATTGTATTGAATCTTATAATTTAGTGGTTTGAACATCAGATTTGAAATATTCAATCTCCCCAGAGAGGACAATGCAGCTGGTAACCTAAGGAGGTTTTCTGGGGTGTTTGTTTTCAGTGTATATCCATGCAGGTAACTGACCTTAGAGCCCTCTCCTACACTCCACCAGTATATAATATCCTCTGTTAACTTCCATCTCCGATCCCGTTGCTAGTCTGCGAGGCTCCAACGGTGTCATCGTTTGAGTGCTTTGGATCAGAACCTGGTGAATAAATGGGAACTAGTGGTGCAGTTAGCCTGTTTCACTAGGTCACAAGTGTATGGAAGTATTCCAGGAGGCTGGCTGAACGTAATCAGTGAGTGGTAACGGTTGCTGATTAACTGGGATGGTATTAACAGAAATGTAGATAGTGCCAAGTTACTTAATGACAACTAACCAAGTGTTAAATAGATGTGGAATTTTAAGTTCTGATCTCTCAGTACTTAAATTGCTAAATGAAGATTAAGGAGCCTATTTTTCTTAGTTCTCAGGAGGCCTCAATCAGGAGTGGGAAGGAACTGCGGGACAGCCTGAAGGCTAGCACTATTCCTGAGGTGTCCACCCAGATAATGGCCTTGGAATTTTCTGTGTTCTGGCTGCAGTTTCATCTGTAAGCCAACAGAGCTTTGGAATAGCTTAGAAACTAGGAGGGAAAATAGAAGAAGAAATAAACACAGTATTATGGTGCTACTCAGTCTTGGAAAGGGCATGTTGTAGTAATGATATTTTTAGTTTCTAGATTCACGTTCTGTTTTTAATGTTGAGCTAACACTTGCTCAGTCTGCAAATAAAGTATATTCTAATTTTGACCTTTTTTTCCCTTCTGATTTCTCTGTAGTCTCTTTCCAACTGATTTTTTTTTTTCCCCAATTAATTTACTGTTGCCCACAATAAAAATTCTTACACAATGGCCATAGCTTTACCTGTTCAGCCCGTTGCCTTTATTGTGTACCTCGCCGATGCCCACGACAGGCTATGCAAGGATGTCTTGGCATGTACAACTTCTGCTGTGGCTGACGGTGCAATAGACAGTGCAAATCAGACAGCTACAGTCAGAACTGAGGGTGAATTTGTGGGCTGACAGCAAAAAAAGAGTGTGGTCTTTGGATGTAGTGTTGTATGTCAGTGGTTAAGCCTTCCTGCTTTTTGAAACCTGCTGTTCTTTTTTATGCTTTCATATATCACATAGTATTTATCTCGGCGTGTTAGATTTGAAAAGCAGCCTGTTTTTTAGCTAGACCTGTTTTGTGGTTTTCCTACCTCGGGTCATCCAGATGGTTGCATAGTTTGTCTTTACCACATCATCTTTAATACACATTGCTGTGTGCCGCCTTCCTTGATTAAAAAAATCAGCTTTTGTGGATAGTCATTGGCTCCATTCAGCTTTCTTCGGCTGACTCTAGGCTCCCCTGACGTCTGTACACATGCAGCACCCTGACACGTTTCGGATCTGATCCGATCTGAAACACCAGCTAGGCCTTTGACACTTACCAGCTTTGACACACGCGACAGATTCTGAAGCACGACGGCAAAGAGCCGCTACGCTGACAGCTGCTGTGGTCTGGCTTTGACATCTTCCCACACCCAACCGGGTAGAGGCGTCAACACCAGTACCTGGCTGTGGTGTGGCGTGGTGCATGTTGATGGGAAATTCCTTCAGCAGGAGGGAGCCTGTCCCGTAACAGTCAGTACGTTTATCATCAGCCGTTTCTGTGCTCATGGTCCCCGAGGTGAGTGGTCAGAGTGCTCAGCTGGGGGAGAAGATGCTCATCAAGGCATCCAAAAGGAAACTCGTATGAAGTACAGGAGTAGTATGGAGAACACACAAGATTTTTCTTAACAAGTATTTTTTGTCCCTTTTGCCAGCTTTTCAGCTTTCTTTGATCCACTCTTGAATAAGTGCAAGTTGCCAGCTGACACTTTCCATTCTATGCCTGCTTGTAAAAATGCATACTAGTACCTTGTAAAAACTATTAAGCAGCCCTTTAGATTCCTTCAGCCCTATGCTTCTGTTACATGTGCTTGTTTCCCTGAGATAAGGTTCAATTATTGAGATTTTTTTTTAATATACATTTAATACCTCTTGCTGCAGTTAAATGCAATGGATGAAATATGTCAAGTTCTTTTCAGAGAAAGGAGGTTTTGAAGATCCAGTGCTCAGTGGAGGAATGTTGTCTTAAGTTTATGTCCTAAACTGCGTAAAGCTCCTTTTGTTTCTGTGGTGTTCTGTATTTTCAGCACATGTTGCAGCAACATGTTATTGCACAGTTAAGCTACACTTCCTAACATATGGACAGAAATAAAATGAGCAAAGAATGTAGCATTACCTGGGAAAAAATTTACAAGTATTTTTGTCCCAGTAATTTCCCAGATTTGTACAGTGTGTAGATGCATCATGGTCTTGATTTAAAGTGTTCCTATAACTGGAAAAAGTCGTCTGCCAATTTCTGAAATTATCTTTTTTCCCTAGAGTTGTATGGTTTTCTGACATCCTAGTAGCCTCAGCAGTGAAATCCTCGGAAGGGATAAACTTTCCTTATCAGGAGATATTTTAATTAGTGCTGGGTATGTAGAAGAGAGCGCCGTAGCTTTTATGGCAGTATGAATACTCAATGGAGAGGCTATGCTGTTTGCTGCAGTTAGTACAGGAAGATTTCAGGCAACATCCTGCACTTTCCTCCTCCGGCCCACTCATTCGGCAGCGGGCAGCATGATTTCGGAGGGCTCCCTGCTCCTGTGGGGTCGTGTTGCTAACACCGAGGGAACTGCCTTCACCCGCTCCGGGCTGCTCCCGCTCCCCGCGCCGCGCCAGCGCTGTGCGTTCGCTCCCACAGCCGCGATGCTCAGAGCGGAGCGGGCGGCTCGGTGGCTGCCTCTCAGTGACACGGTGCCCTCGTGCAATTAACTTCACGGATTCAGAGCACCTCCAGAACTCCCAGCCTGGAAATATTCCCAAAACAGACTTTTTTTCTTTTTTTAATCTCTTTAGAAGTCACGGGAATAAAACTGAATACCGAGTGGGTTTTTTTTCTTACGCCTAAAATATAGCCTCTCTACAAATGAAATCATTCCTGCAAGCCACTTTTGGCTCCCTCTTAGTTATTCCTTAGGGCCCCATTCTTGTTCACACTGGCAGCAGTGCAAAGTTGCCTTGATGTAAATGAGAATCAGGCCCTTTATGTCAGCATTAGAGTTAAATCTAGGGCAGTGTGAGAGTCATCTCCCATTAGCGGAGGCTAAATACCTGCTAGAAATTGGAATTCAAAGGGTGAATCATTGTACTGCATCACTGTGTTGCGTAACGCAGCTGAGATCAGTCTTGTTTAAATGAGGCAATGGCAAAAGGAAGTCAGATTAAATTCAGTCCTTTTTGAAGGGTGTAAATGGGTGTAGGAATTAATTTCAAGCTTTTTTTTCTCCATACCTAACCAGAGAAGAGTCTACCTGGCCTGAAAGAGTGAATCAGTTTAATTACCTGAAACAGTCGTGTGGAAATCTGGGATTAATGTTTAATACCTACCTCCCTGTATACCTTGTCCTGCAACCTTCTTCAACGGAGTCCGTAACCTGTCACCTCCGTGATCGGAGTTGTGGTGCTGCATCACAAACTAGAGCAGCACCACAACTCAAATGTGCAGGTAATCCTATGGAGGAGTTCCAAAGCACATCAACTTCAGAGTATTCAGTTACTTGTGAAAGACGTGGCGAAGCCTTCCTGATAAAAAGACGGAAGGAAATCTGTGTAGTTTTGGGGTTGGGTTTTTTTCTGTTTTGTTTTTAAGAGGGCAGTGAACTGAACACACATAAAAAGAGAAGATAAAGCGTGTCTGTATTCTAACAGCAGGATGCTTTTTCTCTTTTTTTTTTTTCCCTCTGAGGTGATTCACTGGAACTCACCAAAGAAGCTGCGAGTGAAAAACAAGCACGTGGAGTTTTTCCGCAACCTCTACCTGACATTCCTGGAGTATGACGGGAACTTGCTGAGACGGGAGCTCTTTGGCTGCCCCAGTGAGGCGGACGTTAACAGTGAAAACGTAAGTGGGATGTCTAGGGCTTGACAATTTAAAGGGTGCTTTATGCAAGGCACAGGCTCCATGAGGTCTCGGAGAGTTGGTGGTGCAGGTAGTGCAGTGCAGATTCAGGAGAACTGAGGTCAGTGCTCAGATTGCAGGAGTCACACTGTGTAAATCATTTAATCTCTCTGTGCCTCAGTTCCTCGCCTGCAAAACTGTCATATTAATCCTGCCTTTCCCTGGGTTCTGTTGCTTTTTTTTTGCCTACTTTGCCCTTTAAAAATCCCCATCAAAGGTAACATCACAAACTGAAAATGAGGATTTGGACTCTTAATCCCATTAGGCAATTTTGCAAATCTCACCCTTAGACCTGAAACTTTCCAGGGGAGGGAGTTGTTTCTTGCCATGTGTTTGTTCAGCACACAGTGATGTCAGTTTTGGCTAGTAGATACTAATGCACAAACAATGAAGAAGAAATTAAAATACCAAAACTGCTGGATTTAGGTCTATGAGGTTTTGCCATGCTGCAAACTACAGAATGAGTTAATGCTTCAAGATACACACAGGCTGTGAGACTGCAGTTTTTTTCTGCACTGCCCCTAACTAAACGCAGCAGCATTTCTTTGTATCTGCATAAAATTTGCAACCAAAACTTTTCAGATTAAGCAAATCCTTCAAAAATGGTTGAAATCAAGGATGTTTACATACAGATGTTCTCATGTGTGTTTATGTCTTATTGCATATAATTCCAATGTAAAAAACTATTAACTGAAACATCTATACACAGATGTATATGAACTCCTTGTGTAGAATGTGGTCTCTGGAGATCTCTAGACCAAGTACCAATTCTGGCTCTGTAGTCTGAAAGGGAATAAAAAGGAACCTGTCACATTTTATGTTATCATCAAAAAAAATGAATTTCTAAAATGTACAACATTCTTTATACAAAAATCAATAAAGTAAAGTCAGTATCATGTGCACATTAGCAGTTAAGAGGTAACTGGCAATCAATAGCATCGTTGAGGCTTGTAGTGTTTTCATTTAGTCTGTGGATAAAATGACCACAGGAGATGCCATTCCCAATTTTTTAACTGTAGCACTCAGAGATTGGATAGATATATTTTAGCCCAAGGCATGGCTTCCCAGATACTTATTTGACCATCCTACTGTCTTCTGAAAGGAGTGGGGAACGATGAGAAACTGGAGATAAGCATTAACTGGGAGACTGAAGCAGGGATGGGGAGGGGAGGAAGAAAGGGAGAATGAAAACGAGCACACAGTGAGAGCAAAAGCACATGGAGAAAGAAAATCCTCTGCTAGAGTGAGAGGCTTTTAGACAATCAAGTGAACTGAATGTGATAAAAGACCACTAAGAGTCTGACAGTCAGAGACATCAATATACAGTAGACAGAGTAGAGGGTAGGATAGGAAGAGAAAAGGAGAGTGAGACATTAAATAAAGAAAAAAGACAACAGAACAAAACACACCTTCATTACGCTTTAAGAATGCAGGTTAAAATTATACTGAATTCACAATATGTTGTGTGGGTTCGAAGAGCATGAATGCAGTCACAGACTTGTTGCTATATTTTCCAGAGCTCTGTAAATCCTTAATAAACAAGATTTATTCCAGGTGACAAGTTGCTGGGGAGCAGTGAACAGTGAATGCAAGTTCTTGCTGCTGAAAATGGCAGTCCCGAAAGTTTAAAATGGCTCATTTTACTGAACTTATATCTAGTTGACAGACACTGGAAATGACTAACTGTTCAAGCCTGTTTCTTATTCAAGACAAGTAGAACGCAATATGGTATATGGTATGGCTTGTGTCTGAAAAAGAAATGTAACTCATTCTTCCATTTATAAATTTAAAAAAAAAAAAAAAGAGATACTGGAAAAGAATGAGCTAGACATACAAAAATAAATTAATCTTAACTTGCCAAGAGGCAACAAAAAGTTAACAGCCTTCTATCAAAACAATCAGATACAGAAAAAAAAATCTAATGTCAGATAGTTTAAGAGCAGTCACTTAGGAGAAGACATTGTTTTTTATTAGTAACCACTGATGTAAACGCCCCTCTAAACTTGACAGTGTCCTTTCTATTGTAGTATACAAAAAGCAAGTTTCAGCTCTGAAGTTATGAGACCCTAAGAATAGGATTATCATGAAAACCACTCTTTCTCTCACTCTGCCTGCCGTAGAACATACAGTGTCACAGGTGTCCTATTAAAATACAGTACTTTCCCATGATTTCTTGCAGGACAGTCTTCAGAAGCAGGGCGTCTTGTAAGGTGAGCAGGGAGCCACTGTTTGTCATTCCTCCCAGTAAAAGAACTAGGGGACATGAAGTGGAAATAGCACGTAGCAGGTTCAAAACAAAGATAGGCGTTTTGCCCACGATGTAACGAAGCTTTGAGCAGGAGGTAATGTTGCTAAAAATATGCATATGCTCAAAAGCGACTCGTCGTGGGAAGAAGATCGATTGGGAGCCGTTCGGCTTTGGTGCACAAAGTCCTTGAACCAGAAGTTCAGGACTAGGGGAGCGTTCTGAGAAAGCACTGCTGTACACTTGCCCTGCTTTTACACTCCCCTCTAGGCAGCCAGCTCACAGCTGGAGACGGGATGCTGGATTACATGGACGTTTAGTCTGACAGGATGCAGCCGTACATTTCCATTAGGATCCCTAAGATTATGATAAATATATAAAGGATATATTTTTTTCTCCAAAGTCAATTATGTATAAAGTAGGAATTGCTATTTGATTTATCTTAATACCTATTATTTTGCCTTTCTTCTCTGAATTGAAGCTAGCAGCCCTAAAACACAATTGGGCTTTATTATGCTAGGCATTGGGTATGGGTAAAAGGTGCTCCTTCAGCTGCCTGGGCTTCTCTGCACTGTGGACAAAATGCTAGAATAGCTCTGCTGGTTTTATAATCAGAGAGAATTACTTAAGCACTAAATGCACTGAGCCCTGTTGTTGAAGAAGCAATGTCTTGGTGTGGGTCTGTTGTTGTCTGGCTACATGAGAATCTACCCTTGAGGTCTTGTTCCAATATGCCAGCCGTGGCTTCTCTACAGTTTAGTATTTGCAATGATGTTTTATTTAGAATGCAACCTGTAATTAAGGAATCTCATTTGTAATGCAAATATCTGTAAAACATGAAAAGGAAGTGTGTCAGTGGGTACCACTGGGCTGGTTCTGTTACTCTAAGGCCCCTTTACACTTTTCATCAGTACTGAGATGGCCCTAAAATGAATGTAAATTACGTATCTTCCCTTTTTAAGGACTCCTTACAGTGCCAGAGAGAGGTAAAGGGGCATTAGTATAAAAGGTAATCAGACCTTAATCTCTCTCACTTTTCCTCTGTGTATGTGTGCGCATGCATGTATGCTTAAATATATATGTCTACCTGCATGTGGAAGGATTAGTACTTTTATTTTTTTAACGTTTGCTAAGGAAGTATAATGCCACAGACTGAATTTTAAGAGGTCTAAAGGCAGTCTTCGGATCTTGTACTGCATAGTCCTCATCTAGTCAGTTGTTGATCTTCAGCTGCACCACACAGCACTATTATTAGGTTACAAAATGTTACAGATGGAAGTGAACAGATCAGATAGGGCTCTGAAACTGAAATATTGGAGGCAAAGAAGTACAGACTGGGGTACTTTTTCTGTTTATATAGAAATGCCTATATGCATGTCTATGTGTACATACATGTTTCATCCTTCTGATGAAAGACTCTGTGTTGCAGGGACTGCTGTGGACAGGAGCCTGCCACGTGCTCCCTGCCATAGAGCAGTACTGTAAGTCCCCTTTATTCAGTATGTACTAAAATGAGATTACACGGAGCAGACTCTTCTCTTCAAATTGGTATTACCCCTTTGCCTTTTGTGCAGATTCTGGATGGGAAATTCAGAATATGAACCAGCACAGCCATTGACTCAAGTGGCCTTTGGAACACGTCCTTAGTCATTCCATCCTACTTATTCCATGCTCTTTTCCCCCTCCTCACTTCTTTCTTATTTTGATGCAATGCAGAAGATTTTAGACAAATCCATGAAGGCAAAGCTCACAGTAATCTCAAATTTGAAGATTTCCTATTGGCTTTTAATGCTTATGTCCAGCATTTCATTCTGAAGGACCTACTGTAAAGCCTAAAATATTTCAACAGGATCATCAGTGTACCATCCTATCTCTGTAGTTCCTCTCTGAGATAGATACTGTAAGCCTGATTTTTAGCACACAGGCACAAACTCAACCTTTTAGCATTCTCATAAAACTTCTTTCCTGCAGACAGCTTCTCACCAGGTACTTCTGCCAAAGCATTAAATCTGAAGGTTGAATGGATTGTCCCCTATTCATGAAGCATGTGTCCTGATCCAAAGCCCAGAGCAAGATCAGTGGGAAGTTTATCACTGATTTCACTCAGTTTAAGGAGAGGCCAGTAGATTCCCATTAGAAAAGCCTTTCAGAAAACATGGGAAAATATTCTCCGTAGATTTTTATTTTCAGATTTTCAAATCAACAATGCAAAGAAACAGTGTACAAAAATGTAGTTCTCCCTGAAATCACCTGCTTAGGTGTATGCCTACTAAATGTGCTTCTACTTATTTTATTTTTTGTGCAAAGCTAGAGATTCTTAATATTAGCAAACGGCTGTGCATGCCAGCTTGTAATATCCACCACAAGAGCAGGAGATTCTAGCAATGTGTCACATAGTATAAACTCTGTTAACAAATTTAGCAATTTTTGAATGTCTAAAAATAACAAACAATGAGAGCTTCCAAGTCAGCATCAGGGCACTGAACTTGCAGTCAGACTGATGTTTTGAGCACCCTTTGTTCCTGTAGAATTTCAGAATACTGCATCATTTGTAGGACTGCGATTTAAAGTTACTATTTTGTCATGATGTAGGCAGTCTCAAGTAATACCAGATGGTATATGGCAGTTTTGAGGTGAAATCCTGACTTCCCCAGCTGTGTTGTTTCTATTATTATAACTGTTATTGTTATTAAATGCT